GAGGAGAGGAGAGGAGAGGAGAGGAGAGGAGAGGAGAAACATGTGAATATTTATAGAATGTAGAGTCTATTTATTTCTAACATTGTAACACTTGGATTTATCGATTATATTGTTTTCCAAATTTTTGTAAATAAATGATCAAAAAAATTAAACTCATTTTCTTCTTCTCATGACTGATGTCATCATAACTGTTGTTTTGCACTGAAGACATGTTCAAGTTCTACTTCTACTCATCATGGTTCTGTTTCTATGGAGGAGCAGGGCTTTTATTTTGAAGAGTAAATGAAGAGCACAGAGAGAAACACTGACCAGAGCAAAACAGCTGTTTTTGTGTTTACTTGTCGAACTCACAGAGCAGTTCATCTGAGATGTGGTTGAGCTGCTGCATGTTTTCATACTGTATGTTCTCTACATATATCTATATCTATATCTATATCTATATCTGACGGATGGTTTGTTACTCACCCTCTGACTCGGAGTCCGTCCTCACGGACGCTGCAGATGGCGGTCTTTGGGGGCGGGGCTTGGGAGTGGGCGGGGACATCCTCTTTCTGCCGATGAACTCCACGTACGTCCCGGGGAAGTCTCCTTTCTCCTGTCGACCAGAGAGGACCCAGTGAGGACGGGTCCGGTACAGAGAGCCACACACCAAGTAGACCGGTTATGTTTAAGGAACCGATACACACAACTGAACCACTGGATTGGATCACAGCGTGGGGACGTTGTGATCCCTTCAAACAGCTGGAATGGAAACGTTTAACTTCCTGTTTATCTGTGAAACACTCCAGTGAAAGAAGAGAAACGAAGCTTTCAGTTTATTGAAGAATACTTTAAATATTAAACTGTTTAAACTTTAGAAGATAAAAAAGAGACAAAATAAAACAAAGACGTGTTTCATTTAACAGATAATTAAAGGTGTTGACAGCTTAAAGCCTTAAATAATATTAATGACTTTGAGTCTTTTCTCTCCATTTCCTCAGAGACACACAATCTATAAGATTGTTCTGTATATTAAAACACTATATTACATCTTATGTAATCATTTCCAGAACTCAAAACTAAACCTGTGAACACCAGATGTTCACTGAACTTAACAAAAAGTGTCTTTAAATAAATACATCTTTAGCCTCCAATCTTATTATTATAAACATATTAAAGTGACGGATTATATATTAAAACGAGAACGTTTAACGCAAGTAGTTCGGAGGAAGTCGACCTCTAAGGCTGTCAGAGGGAGAGGTGCATTGTGGGTAACGTAGGCGCCAGGTTTCGGACGGGGAAGAAGAACGTGTGGAATAAAAACATGGATTTATTTTATTTTGTTTTTCTTCAACGGTCCAGCATGAGTTCAACATGCTGGAGAACCGGGACCAGCCGGGACCGACCGACCAAAGCAGCTTCTGGTGTTTTATTGTCTCCTCTCCTCTCTGTGTTCACTTGCTGTAGTTCAGTCAGAGTTTCTCCTCCTTGTTGTCACATGACTGTTGGTCTCAGATGAATAGTGGCGTTTTTTTACAGCTTCTGGCTGTAATAAAAGCTTTGTTTTTGGAAATTGTGCAAAAACACACACACACACACACACACACACACACACACACACACACACACACACCAGATCTGTTCTTGCCAGCAGGTTTTTTTTGTGGTTAAGAAAGTTAAAGTTCAGCTCGTTGCAGAGAGGCTGATTTAAAAACGTGTAGTTTAAGTGAACCGGAACCAGGACCAGGACCTACCTGCGTGGTCTCGTTGACGCCGGGCAGCCAGCCGATCTCCGACGGTCGTTCTTCGGCTCCGTTCCCACAGCCGAGGGCCACCAGCGCTCCTCTGCTGACCAGCAGCATGTCTCCCACGTGTAGGTCGATGTCCTCCTCGCGCTCCTTCTTGTAGTCGTACAGAGCTCGGTACTGGAAGCCCTCAGAGCTCATCGCTGCGGCTCTACGGCTTCTTCTCGACGACAACTAGTGAAAAATATTACGGCTCCGGGTATAAAAATACAAGCTCTCAATCCTGAGTTAATAAAGGGAACGTAGGCTGTCCAGCTGTCTGTCTGTCTGTCTCTCCTGTCTCCATGTCTGCTAGAGGCCCGTCATCCCTCCAGCCGTCCAATCAGAGAGCTCCTCCTCGCCGTTCATGAACAGAAGTCTCAGCAGAGGTGGAGGCCACATCTGGGGAGGAGGAGGGTCCACCTGAGAGAGGGAGGAGGAAGAGGAAGAGGAGGAGGAGTTTATATAGCCTGAGAACAACTGCTCCACTGAACTCGTTGTGCAAATGACAAATAAGGAAGATGAACTTCATAAAGATAAATGATTCATCTATTAGTCTCTCAATGGGAAATGAATCAGCATTGATTGTAACAGCTGATTTATTGAATGTATTGTTGTAATACTTGGATTAGTTCCAGCTCAACAATAGTTAATGTCTCACATTTTGTTTTGTGATAATAAACTGATTATATGATAAAACAGCGTGTGATGGTATCTAATAACTTAGAAACACCATTATTGGTTCAAACTGTCATGAAATAAAGTAATAAATAATCACTGGTATAAATTAACGATTTATAGATTGAGCCGAAAACTATTTATATAAATGTATTAATATAAGTATGTTACAGGTAAAGAGGTGCTTTCGTTCAGTAAACATGTTTATCAGTTCCTGTCAGGATGATGTTAATTAACAATAATAAATAATATAAAAGAACTTCAGACTACAGTAATGAAGCCGAACAGATGAATATAACGTGTTTAACGTACAACACAATTATGTTATTCAGAATATACATATAAACAAACATTCACACTAAACACGCTGTTTTTTAAAGGGACCTTCGTTTAAGCAGGAAACCGGAAACGACCATACATGCCAGTGTTAGCTTAGCTTAGCTTAGCTTCGTGTCAGTCGCTACAAACGTCTCACCTTTTTTTTTTTCACCGATTAAAACTTCCAGCGGAGCAAACAGCGGACGCCATTTTGGATCGAAGAGGAGAAGACACGACGTCCAGGTCTCCCCCAAAAACTGGAAAATATTCCAAATGTTTGATCGATTATTTGACGAAAGAAAGACTCTCGCGCTTCAGCCGTCTGAGTCTTTGGCAGGTAGCCTGACATCAAGTTAGCGTCAATACGTTTAACCATTTCCGGTACGGACCTTCAAAATAAAACGGGTTTTATAGTATTAAAATACAAAATAAACTTCACATGAAGAGTCACTTTGAGTAAACATCTGATCTGTTGAAATTCATATTCAAATTATAACAGCTGCTCTTGCCTGAGTCTACTTTACGACATATTTAACTCGCTAAAATACGTCATATAAGAGGACAGCGAGCAGAATTGACAAGTTCCGGATGGCTTTCAAAATAAAATGCCTCCGGCGAACATGTGTTTGCAACATTAATGCGTTTTACAGCAGCAGCGACAAAAATGATGGGCATTATTCAAAGAAAAGAGTTTTAAAATCTTAAGATTATTTCCTTATTTTCTGTTAACTTCGCGTTAAAACACCACAAACAGGATTTAAGAGATTTAAACCGATTACAGCTGGAAAAAAGGAGGCTGGGCACCGACGTCACATCCGGTGACCTAGATTTTAATGCAGTGCGCGCTGCTGTCAAGACGGGACCATAGCAACAAAAGAGTGTGTGCGTGTATGAGCCGGATGGGGGTGTACTGTATTCAGACTGCCCTCATTTATTCAGGTCTTACACAAGCAGCACAGTGTGTGTGTGTGTGTGTGTGTGTGTGTGTGTATCATGTGACTGCTGCTGTGGCTTTTTCAGCAACACACTGCACATCACATGCAGGGCTGCACATCCATCACCAGACAGTTCATTCAAAACATCAAAGCTTTATTTACATCAGTGAGTGGAGAGGAAATATATTTACATATAAAAATATACAATCATAAGATCGGTCCTCAAGTTCATAAATATACAAAAACAGACTGGTCTTCGGCATAAAGAGACAGTACTGTGTTTGAGGGTTGAATCCCCCCCCCCCAATATTAATGAAGATCTGCACTTAGTCATGAGAGGAACAATGTAAAGTGTTTAATATTCAGTAAATACTGAACGAATGCTGAATTGCTGCTGATGTTAAGATGCTCCATCCTGTAAACACCATGTTGTGATTTTAAAGGGACAGTACTCACGTACTTCTCTACAGTCACAGTTCAGAGAAACACAAAGAACCAGAAACCAGACTCCATTCATCAAACACTGATTCTACCTCAGATCAGAGGAGGCGCTCTACTGCTCCTCCTCCTGTTTGTGAGTTTGTGTTGTTGAGAGACTTCAGTGTTTAAAGACACAAACACTAACAGGAGGAGGAGCAGTAGAGCAGCTCCTGTGATCTGAGAGGTTAAATCAGTGTTTATATGGAGTCTGGTGTGTTTGTAGAGATCACAGATAACAGCTTCACTTCTACATCAGAAAGGTAAAGAGGAGAAAACATTCTAAATATAACGTTCACTTAAACTGATATAGATACTTTCATGTGTCTAGAATACATCCACAGCAGAACATTACTCTGCTCCATCTACTGTAATACTTAGACTGTGTAGAAGTACCTCATACAACCACACTGCTAAACATCGCTACTGTCCCTTTAAGACACAGTCGTCCCAGTCTACGGCCCAGTAGATCATGTGATCGATAAAAACATCAGGATTCATCTTCTGCAAAAATATAAATAAGTGAAGGTAAATGTGAGCAGTAGCGGCTCCTCACTGGGACACGGTACCCGGTGAATAGTCAAGAGAGCGGTTTGAAGCTCGTCTACATGCTGAAGACGCTTCCTCGCCCATGAACCGACAGGTCGATCCCCCCCGACAGCCGCAGCGCCTCCTTCAGGTAACGTCCCACCTGCTCCGAGAGGACCACGTCACAGAACACCCAGATCTCCAGACGCTCACGCCGGATGTTGGCGTTACACGGCGGCGGCGGAGGACCGGAGCTCCGGACACACCGGCTCAGAGAACACCACACCTGTAGGGGGGGGGGGGGGTGCAGGTGAGGAAGAGGGTGAAACAAGAGACCAAGAGAATAACTTTGATTTACCAGCTACAAAAAAACAACTAAATCCATTCAAATGAGACAAATGTACATTTTGTACATCAACTTGTAGCTTTAAACTGTCCAAAAGCCAGAAATATTCAGTTTACTTTCATGTATTCTATAAAATAAGCATCAAATTCTCACACATGAGAAGCTTCCAGTACAGACTTTGTGATCTCAGTCTGCACATACAAGACGAACAGAAACTCAAAGGTGAAATGCTCCTTTAACCGAGCTGAAGAGAAAAGAGCTGGGATCTGTACACATATTTAAATGAGGTAATATGCAGATATTTGGTGCTAAATTTAACCCCTTTTTCTTGCAAAATATCCAGAAGCCGTTACAGTGGATCTACAACTAGACACTGGACCTTTAAGACGGCCTTAAAGCAGGAACAGAGAGCAATATTTGTCCATTTATTCCTGTTTTAACATTTCATATTTACACATAACATCATATTATTTTAAGCGGGTACTGAGGCCTGCATGGAATCAATTTAAATTAAACTTTAGAGCGGCAGATACAGAATACTTTGTGTAATATTTGGGCACATCATTACTAAACTGTTCAGTAGTGTTGTGAAGTTATTTTGATAGAAGTTTAACTTCCTGTGGTACATATGTACTAAATGAACATCATGCTGTATTGAAGAAGACTTGAAACTAGAGATTGAGACCATAAACTCATGTTTACAATGTTTACTGAGGTAATAAATCAAGAGAGAAGTAGAGTCATTTTCTCATAGACTTCTATACAACCAGAGGAGTCGCCCCCTGGTGGACACTAACATTTCATATTTACACATAACATCATATGTTATGTGTAAATATGGGAGAGAATGCAGGTTTAAGACATGAAGCTTTGACTTCACTCTAAAGAACCGGAGGTTGTCTCCTAATGGTTGGAATAATAATAATAATAATAATAATAATAATAATAATAATAATAGTAAACAGCCTCGTAGAGCTGTTATCTGATCCACCGACCTGCTCGATGTCTCTGCCCCCCCCCACAGTTGTGCTGACCGATCACCCACTTGGCCCTCTGGTGGAGGTGCAGCCTGTGGACCGAGACCACGTGACGGAACCGTCCGGACATGGACTCTCTCTGCAGACCTCCTTTCTGAGTGAAGACGCTCCACGAGCGTTTGAGCGGAGAGTCCGTGACGGAGGAGCCATCTTTGTGTCCCGTGACCTCCGTCTCTGGGAGGAGGTGCTTCGGTGTTTCTGAGACGCAGGCGGCCTCTTCAGGTTCTGGAGGATTCTCAGGCGGTGGTTGGCGATGAGGACTCTCAGAAACAACAAGAAGACCGTGAACTTCTGGTTCCCGAAGCTGGTTTAAACCAGCCGGGCCGGTGATGACGGGAGGCGGTCTGGCCGGTCTGATGGGCGGGTGGCGGTCTACAGAGGACCAGGGCCTGAAGACCAGAGGAGTCCTGCAGGGGAAAGACTCCAGGAGCCGCTCGGTCCTCTCTAACAGGCAGCTGAGACCAGCAGCTGATCCGGGCTGGTAGTGCAGAACCACATCCTCCATGCAGATCAGAGGACCCTCCTCTTCCTCCTCAGCATCTTCCTCCTCGTGAGGTCCCTTCAGCTAGACGTAGAACCCTGGTTACTCTATAGGTTACAGAACATTCAGTTAAAGGTCACACATTAGGGTTCTTTATTTACTTCTACGTATTTTGGGTTTCTACTAAAACATGTAAAGTATCTATCTATATATCTATCATGATAATAACTCCACGATGAAGTCTTATATCGACACATCACTAGTCCCTCACATTCTGACCATTCATCCAGAACATTAACATTCATAGACTGTCTGTAATTAGACCCACTTAGAGTCTTTATGGTGTAATGATATCTATGAAGCGCTATATCTGATCTATTCCTCATGATTCTTCATCAAACGTTCAACTCAAGACTTTTACCCCAAATCATCCTAATATTATAATATATTTATATATATTTATATATATCTATATCTATATCTAGATATATATCTATATATCTAGATATATATCTAGATATATCTATATCTAGATATATTTATTTATTTATTATTAAATGATCTGCTGCCTCAAAGACCTGAGTGACTTTAGGAGGAATTATTTCCTGAATTCTTTATTTTCCTTTTTTTAGGTCGTTTACAGGAAACTCAAAGTGACGAGAAGCTAAATTAAAAACATAAAAACAACCACTGAACCAGCTAAAAATACAACAAACTGTGTAAAGAGATCAACTTCAAGTGAATCATATCAAACGTAACGTGGAAGCTAATGTTTGTAGCTTGTGATGCTAGCGGCCGTCTGTCTGTTAGCCGAACAAAGCCAACGAGCTAGCTATAAAACATGGCGGCGCAGTTGTCCAACAGGTAACTTACAGGTAACAACCTCTCCTACAGTCCAACAACACTCAACACTAACCTTTAAATCAGAGGACTGAGGTCCGTCTGCTTTTTAAAAACAGCCAACAAGGAGTTAAAGTTCCGGTCTGGCGATGCTAGGCTAACATGCTAACACGGTTTGTGTTACGGGCTCTTCCCGGGAAGTCTCGCGAGAGTTGAACTGAAGTAACGGACAGACTGACTGAGCGTCACAGCGCTTTATTTCTCTGTATTTATTTCCACAGTAAACATATATTATAAGGTTGAATTGATTTGAATGTTTTCAGCCATAATTAAATTTTCTGTTATATTTACTATATTGTTGTTTAACTACAAACCTAACCAGAAAAAATGATCAGTGTTTATAAACAATATGTATTAGTCTGTGGTGGGGAAATATTAAGATAATTTATATTAAATAAAACTATACCACACAGTAACTGCTACTATCATATTTTCTATCAGAGTATTATTACTCTGCATGAATGTAAAAGCAGGATTTTACTGTCATAGTTGAACTATTAACTTATGAAAGCAGCAAGAAATAAAATAGTACTTAAGTTCATTACTTTACTATTATAGTACTAGTGTATATATATATTATAGTACTAGTGTATATATATATATTATAGTACTAGTATATGACAAGACCAGCTGGGTGTCATCGGCATAACAATGGTAGGAGAAGTCATGCGAGTGAATAACACAACCCAGAGATGTTGTGTAGAGCGAGAAGAGAAGGGGGCCCAGGACTGAACCTTGTGGAACCCCCGTAGTCAGCATGCGCGGTTCCGACACAGAGCCCCTCCATGACACCTGGTAGGATCGACCTGTCAGGTAGGATGCAAACAGGGAGAGTGCAGAGCCTGAAACGCCCATCCCCTCGAGGGTGGATAGGAGGATCTGGTGGTTAACAGTGTCAAATGCCGCAGACAGGTCCAGGACAATCAGGACAGAGGAGAGAGAGTTAGCTCTCGCTGCGTGAAGCGACTCCGTCACCGCAAGGAGGGCTGTCTCAGTCGAGTGACCCACTTTGAACCCGGACTGGTGAGGGTCCAAGAGGTTGTTTTGGTGGAGATAGGAGGATAGTTGAGTAAAGACAGCACGTTCAAGTGTTTTGGAAAGAAAGAGTAGAAGAGACACCGGTCTGAAGTTCTTGACATCAGAGGGGTCAAGTGATGGTTTTTTCAGAAGGGGGGTGACTCTGGCAGTCTTGAAAGCCGTGGGAAAGCATCCTGAAACAAGAGATGTTCATGAGGTGGGTGAGAAAAGGAAGGAGTTCAATCGCAATAGACTGAAGAAGAGGGGAGGGGATCGGGTCAAGAGAGCACGTGGTGGGGCGGTTAGATGTAACAAGGTTGAGGACCTCGTTAGGGGAGAGGGGAGCAAGATAGGGTAAGATGGGGCATGGAGAGGGGAGGGAGAACTGTGGGGGAAGAGCTGGAGATGGTAGAGAGGGAGAGGGTGGACAGGGAGAGAGTGGACAGGGGGGCTGAGAGAAGGAGGATCTGATATCGTTTACCTTCTTGTCAAAGAAGTTGGCGAAATCGTCAGGGAGAAGGGAGGAAGTAGGAGGAGGGGGTGGGGGTTGGAGGAGTGAAGAGAAAGTTTCAAAGAGTTTTTTAGGATTGGAAGCAGAGGTTAGGATTTTGGAGCGAAAGAATGCAGCTTTAGCAGTAGATAGAGTGATGGAAAAAGTGGAAAGAAGAGCTTGGAAGTACTAGTACATATTATAGCACTAGCTTAGTTTTTGATTTACAAACAGAACTTCTCTTCAAATAAAACAATATGAAACAAGAATATTTTTGCATGACGCTTCAACTAATGGTTCAAATTGTTTAAATCAAACAAGGTTTTTAAATGATGAATAATTAAAGTATTTTAACAACTAAAGTCTTTCAGAAGACTTCAAAATAAAAAGCACAACATTCTAAAGTCAAACAATGTTCCGTAGTATTTAACCCGATGCCTGAAGCGTTGATGCAGTGAATAAAGACAGACGCGCTGCAGTAGTTTGTCAACAGGACATTTTTATTTGATACGTCCGTTTGTCTTTTATTCAAATTACAGTAATATACTTGCTGAGATGACCACCGGCTACAAACTCACAGCTGTACTACTTCAAGCGAACTCTTGTTTTTCCTGGTTTTTATTTTTCTCTCCTTTTGTTGTTAAAATTATTCTTGCAACAGAAAAAAGAAAAGAAAAAAAAGCACATATGCCATAAAGAAGAAGAAGAGAAGAGAAGAAGAAGTGTGGTGTGTGTTGGTGATGGTGTCATCAGGTGGGAGGAGTTATAGTCTAAATAAAGAAACAGCGCATCGTACATGTGGTAAAGGATCAGAATATGGCACATTTGGTCCACGTTGGTAGTTTTATTATCTCGTTTTTCAAACATGTAATAAACAAAAAAACAGAAAGAAAACAGATCATAGTTGTTTTTCCCCAGAAGCACAGCGTTAATGACAGGACAGCATATTGAAAACAAGTAGGGGGGGGGGGGGCTTTAGGGTTCTCTCTTTGTTAAAATCTTGGTTCATCAGCCAATCGTTTTGTTTCAATTCTCCTGGTTTACAGTAATAATATCATTATTATTAACATCTTCTTTCCATCCAAGATGAGAGGGGGGGGGAGGGGATGGGGCGGGGTTTCGTGGATGATTGACAGGGATGGCTTTTTTTTGGACATTCACAGGAAGTAGTCAGGAGTGCGTCTGGTCACGTGGGGCTCTCCGCGGCGGGGGGCGGGGTCAAACTGAAGGCTGAGGAGGCGGGACAAAAGGTTTTTACGTTAGTGATGACATCACTGGAACATTTAAATCTATTTATATTCTGTTACAGACGTTTGTAAAACCATCAAAAACTAAAAATCAATCATCTGTGTGAAGAAGAATCACCGTAAACAGTAAAGTACATTCAACTAGATGTGTTTGACTCGTTATATTTACACATAAACACGTTATAAGCATCAACCAATCAGGATGTGTTAAAAACAAACTCTAGTGACAACATGGAGGGTCTGAAGTCTGAACCAACCAACTTTATTAATCCTTTCAACATTAACAAAGCTTCTGTTCTTACCTTTCACAATAAAAGCCCGAGACATATTACATAAGCTGGTGAGCTCCACACATGGTGTAGTCACAAGTCATCGGTAGATCATGTTCTGTTTCTGTGAAATGTACTTTACTTTCTTCAGTCTAAACTGGTGACATGTCAGTTTCCTCTTTTAACTTTGTCTTTTCACAATAAGAGTCAAGACAAAATAATGATTAACGGGAACACTGACGTGATAAAAATCCAATTTCAGTCTAAATACAAACTCATCTCTGTTAATAACAGACAAATAATGATCTAAACTTCACTCAATCTTTAAATCCTGCAGACCTTTAGGTGAACGTTGTGAAACATGCCGGAGACAAACGATGAAGTGAGATGAAGAAGAAGTGAGTTTCACTTACAAAGAGTATTTCAGAGTGTCGTCCAGCTCCATGATGGCCGCCTGGTTTCCACAGCGGTAGCAGTAGTTTGGAGCACTAAAGATGGTCACCACATTCTTATCGTGGCCCCAGTTGTAGCCCTGAAGGAACCGAACACACGTCACACGTTAGCTCCAGAGCTAACCCTCACTCACAGTTTAAAATCACACATTTAGGAAATGATTACAGAGATGAGGCTCTTCCTTTAAAACAAGATGCTGAAGTGTTGACTGTTAAACTTCTTCCCCTTAAAGGACCGGCACATATCACTAATATATGATCCTTCACAGCCTCGTTGATCCTCCGCTGATGTTTATTTAAATACAAACTCTCACTAATAAGAGAATCAGCAGCTCACACTTTAGTCAGTGACGTCTGAAGAAGACACTTTGGTAAAAACGTGAACTTGTTCTAGACGTTTCCTGTACAAAAGAACATGTTTGAGACGCAGTAAACCTGATGAAGCTTCACTGTGAACAACAAATCAGTGTTGAAATCAACAAGAGAGCTAGTTAGCATTAGCATCCGGTGAGCTAAACAACAGAGTCACACAGAGGTTAGCAGAGGTTCACTTCAGTTACATTATGGTGCCTTCAGGCTCTGCTCAGGGGAATGAGTACTGGCTAGTAAATTATAATGTCCTCGTCCTCCTCTCTCTTCGCTTTCTTTCTTCTCCTCATCCTGTCTTCCTTCCCCCTCCTCACTTCCTTCCTCCTCCCTCTCCTTCCCTCCCCTCCTCCTCCTGTTGGTTGAGCTAGTAACGTTAGCAGCACCGCTAACGGCTAACCAACAGGAGGA